ATCGACAATAGTTATAGTTTTCAATCCAAATTATAACAATCGACCATTATTATACATATTAAACATATTAACTCGAAGAACTTGTTGAATTTTTCAGTAGATTTAATTAGGTTTAAATAGTAATTATTTGTATTTAGTTATTGTGTTGGATAAAAATTAATTTAAAGGGTGATCCAAAAGTCTTGGTGCCTCGCAGAAAAAAATCCCTTTTCTCCCTTATAACAAATGAAGAAAAGCTCAAAATTGGACTGATAGTCAATCATTACCAGATGAGTATTACCCTAAATTTTCACAACTATAACTCAAGTTATAGTGAAGATATATAACTTTGAACTAATAGAAAATTTTTTTTCGCATGACGAAATCAAGTAACGGATGCCCATGATGACTTCTCCTACTCCTCGTATATTGTATCTTTCTTTTTCAATTTCTAATATCTTTCTTGAAAACACAAAATATACCAGAAGATGCAGCTTGAAGAACTCTACAACATACAATGCAAAGCTTATTTTATATATGGTCCTTTAGCGTTCAAAATGGATGAAAATGATGAAAAGAGTAAATAAAAGAAAAAAGAATTCATCGTGTATAAAGAATTACTTTTTCGCAACATCCGAATTCGCTCACTTAGAAATGTGTACTAAAGGAGCATATATAAAATAAGCTTTGCATTGTAGGTTGTAGAGCTTTTCAAGCTGCATCTTCTGGTATATTTTGTGTTTTCAAGAAAGATATTAGAAATTGAAAAGGAAAGATACAATATACGGGAGTCATCATGGATTTCTTCATTTGTTATAAGGGAGAAAAGGGATTTTTTCTGCGAGGTACCAAGACTTTTGGATCACCCTTTCGAAAGCAAAAGTTGAGTAAATATTTCGACTCATACAGAAGTTTACAATAAAAAGATCAATTGTATCCTCGCGACATTATTCTTTTCAACAGTGTGCTGTCAAAACTTATTTATTGCATTTTTTGCTTTTGTTCCTTTGAATATGACGCCGCAAAAGAGTTGATACTCACAACTTACTTTTATTTTTCTTTGGAATTGGTTCCCATGTATTGGAACTATCTAACAGAAAAACTAATATTTTTTCGATACACAGATTACGATCTCTAAGAAGAGAAACAAACTGAAAAAGAAATATGAATAAAGATGGAGAGATCAAAACCGTGCTCACCTTTCGTATTGTTTTTTTTTGAAAAATAATGTAACTCCAACTTTTCTTCCTTTTTATGATAATAATAACATTGAGTCATTTGATTGGGAGAAAGATATTTCTACAAATAAGAGATCGGTGCTGTATTGTGAATGTCAAAAAAAGAAATGTTCACTAATGATTTATTCGGGATGTAAGCGAATATTATACTAAATTTCTTTGCTTTGCAATTTGTATTTGAAAAATGATTTCTTGTTTTATTCGAATTTCTTCTATTTCCTGGATTCATCTTTTCATCAGAGATATTTCACGTTTGCTACTAACTGTGTAAGGAAGATATCTTAATTGAGCATTTTAGAAAACAATCTTGATCATTTTGGCCTAATCACTGATAGAGAATTTTGTTTTTCATTGCCTATTGTTAGACATCGGTCAATTGTTGAATATGGCTGAGGGTAGCTTGAAGTTGTTGATGGATTTGTTTATCTTATCCCTATTCTGCTCACATGAACACTCTCACACTCACAGACCACATTATGCATTCTTTCAGCTAAAAATACTAGTGCTTAAAATGGTTTACAATCGACAGACAAATATGAATCAAATTTTGAAAGAGATTTAACTGAAGGGTTCAATGACCTTTCTACGAAGTATTATTTAAACAATTAATTGAAAGTTAACAAACAATTATCGATCAAGAACGATATTTGTTTCTTAGATTCTTAAAGAGCAAAATATTCAATTTTTAAGTGAGTGTCGAAAATCTAAAGATTTTCTTTACGACCAGTACGTCGACTGTAGAAAAATTCTTCGAGAAACTGATTCATCTAGAATATTGAATCTAAAATGTGTATTGTGTACACGAATAGAACAACGTTGAATTCGCAAATTTCGATAAAGAGCCTTTCTATTGCTAATATTATCAATGTTTTCTTTCAGAGGTTTTCTATTAAAACTAACCAGCATAGAAAAGGCAATCTTTCTAAAACTTTCATAAGAGACAATAGGTAGTATTTGTACATCGATTGACTAAGCATCGGACAAATATGACTTTATATCTATCAAAAGTACAAGTAAAAAAGAGAATGAAACAGATTTATTTTTCCTTTTTTTTTATTATTTCATTTCAGTTAAGTGCAGCAGAACATATTATTGCACTAATGTATATTATCGGATGCCTGAATTTTATGGTGTGGGTGTGGGTGTCTAATGAATAATGTACCGACATCCCAAATTATTCAAACGACGAAATAGAACTTGTCAGGGATTTATATGTCGACATCTGTAATGCACTTTGAAATACATATTTTGATACTGATTTAATAATTCATTGAGCTTAATTGAGTATTTAGATAGCTAAACTGTATAAAAAGAGTATAATTTTGTAAAATATGAGAATTTCTAGGTCAACACTACAATCGAATTCTGCATAGTTTTGAAAGAATTAGTTTTCGAATCCATTTGATCAAAATTTTCATCTCTGACCATTGCAGCATTAGTAACACTTATTACAAGTAGCCTTCTTCATGATCACACATGTCTTTTTACTTTTAATGGTACATCATCAATATTTCTGAGGTTTGTTTTTCGTTATACACAGTACTGCTTGTTCTCTTTGACACAAATATTTTTTTTCTTATGACATCACCCCGTCATGCTTAAACCATTTATATATAAAGACCTTCCATTTTTAATGATTGATCCACCATTATTTATCAATGTTAATTGAATACCACAATTACCTGTCCCTAATTTCTATCAACAATAAACTATCTTCAAATGTGATCGATAGAAGAAAAAACGATTATTTTTAATACAGCATTAATTCTTGATTATCCAGACTTTTGATATTTTTCCAAAAGGTAGTTTTTCTTGGTTTAGTTTTGACGTAGATGATTAAAAATAAAAAAGAAATCAAATACGTTGGCAGTGTCAGGGATCTTGATCCAGCACCATGGTTTATCAATGTTTCCACGTTAATAAAGATACCAACACATTCCTAATTAAATTTCGGAAAGAGAATTATTCAAGAATTAAGATAGACTCAAATCAAATTTTGAGTCCACTAAAAATTAAAATAGACTGCATTATACACACACACTGAAGGACGAGATTCATCATTGGGAAATACATATTTAAATGAACAGACAAAATAGATTTTCATATTGTTCAGTACTTGAATTTCACTCATGACATTGATGAACACAAAAACTTTAGCACTGATAATATCTTTATTTTTTCTTGACAGTATATTTTTATTTATTCATACGGATTTCGCATTAGTATTAAAATTAACCTCAACATATTGGAGTGTATACGGAGTATGGTTGTGACTTTGGTTTTGGCTGGAAGTGCTGTGCATTTGCGTGATTATGTAGATGTAGCTCTATATATGTGGGTGTGGGTGTAGGTGGGTATTCCTCAAAGACACCCACACACACTCAATCAAAAAGTATATAATTCGCAAGAGATACAAGCAACCCATTCTTCTAGATACAAATAGAAATCTCATTAATCAAATAGATATTAGTTATCGAAAAATTCAACCTTGAAAGGATTCCTAAACTATTAGGTTAAAATAACGTTTTTTTTTTAATTATTTTTACAAATTTATCAAACTTGTAGACAAGATATAAATAATTATATAAAAACTATATATGTTTTGATACAGTATATAATTGATATTCTATGCAACTATGTGAAAATAAGAAGCCTTCGATGTTCTTTATGTAAATGGTGATCTAAACAAAGATATCAAAACAATTTAATCAATCTGTATAACTTCTTAATTTGCATAGTCTGAGAGAAATATTAATGTGTATTCATATTCATCACACTGAAGAAGAAGATCGTTTTATTTGTATGCGAGATGCTGAAAAACAAAGGTTGCTTATATTAATTTGTACCACCATTATGTTTGTTTTTTTCTTAAATACATTCAATTCTATACCTTGGATTTTTCTCCGCTTTTTCCAATTATATACTCGTCATGACCTAAAATGCTTATAGATGTCGAAAAGGAAAATACAACGCCTTCAATAACTCTAAGAAAAGCCGATGCTCAACTAAATCAACAATAGATGCTGAATAACACGACTAGCACTATCGAAAAAGAAAAACAGAAAATATAACGATTATTGTCATCCATCGCAAGTAAATCAGAAACAGGTTTAAACAATGAGAAAAAAGCATACTCATGATTCTATTCATAATATTCTTTTCTACTGATTATCGTAGGTAAATAATTCAGACCTCTGATAATGACTAAAATCGACAAGACGCATAAGATAAAACAGTTCTTGTTTTTATTAAGAGATTTGTAAACAATTGAATATAATATAAATGAAATATGAATCAATTTAATCGAATCTACTGTTTAGATTTAAAATTTTATAGCAAATTCTAATTATTTTCACGATTCATTGTGTTGAACAATCGAGAAACGCACAATTCAATACAAACGATGATCATAAAAAAATTGCATTTATGAATTAATTTTTTCAAAAACTCTTCAGTAATAGAAATATTTTAATCTTCTTCTTCGTCGTTTTCAAAAATAAAAAATCGTTCAATCATCTAATTAATGTAAAAGAACATAGTATGTTATTCTTTTCGATGCTAACATCTATTGTTATATATTTTTACATAATATAGAAAGGCTTTTATATGTCAATCTTTAAATAAATCATAAGACGAATTTCAAATTTTAATGCAAGAAATTTATTATTGTAATTATTAAAGTTGTAGAAGATTCTTAAAAAAAATGCTATAATAACAGATTTTGTAATTAGTACATTTCTTTAAAACTCATCACATGAGAGACCAATGATCTCCTACATCTACTCAACGAGGACCATATCCATATGGTGAACCGAAGACACGTCCATAACCTCCAAAAGCATCAAAACCACCATAGCCTGTAGCAGCAGAACCATCATAACGTGGAGTAGCGGCACTAAAGTAGTTTGGAGTATTGAAATTACTGTAATTTGGAACTCCGAAGCCCCAAGGAGAAGCTCCTGTACCACCGAGACTTCCACCATAATTTCCGAAACCGGCTTGATTTCCTGAAATTTATTATTTAATAAATAATTTTATATAAACGTTTATATGGTACTTACCCAATTGTTGATATCCACCAAACATTGTTAATACTTGTATCTTATAGAGAATAGAAATAAATATGAAAAAAAGGAGTATGTGCATTTGAAACAACGCATCCATGCGTATTTATATGATCATCAAACTGTTCTCTTCTATTATCTCTATTACAAATCGATCTTTACGTAAGAATCAAAAATGCATTGTTGCAAGTCATATGTGACTGAGATATTCGTATCTATATATGAAACAACCTTCTAAAAAATAGCGTGTTAGATAAAACACACCCATCGCTCATGCTGAACTTACCAGTTGGTAGCGAAAGATGAATTGCTATTTAATGAGATACGGTGCATATTCAAGTATACTGCATACAAAAATTATTACGCAATAGTATTTTTATACGCATACAATAAAAAATTTACAATCACCTATATAGTTCAGATGGAGAAGTAGATTGACTATTTACACATGAGTGAATAATGCATGCATATTGATCAGAGTATGCATGAAATGAGACAAAAGATGTAAGAAACCCAGTCAAAAGAAATACAATGACAATAGTTATCTATTCCAGAGTGAAACAATTTTCTTGCAAAATTCTTTTATGCATCGATATTTGTCTACACAAGATGATCAATAAAATCTAGTTAGACTATTTTGTGCTTGGAAAGCACAAGATCAAATTAGGTTCGATATTTTTTTTTCTATATTTTTATATTCACTTTTTTAAATCAAATTAATGTTTAGTATAAATATGTGAGAAGAGAGAAAATCTATCAAGAATAGCCCAGGTGAAAAGTTTTATGAAAATCGTATAAGATGTTATTGACAATTGGATATCGTAAGATTCATACTATATGATATTATAGAATCGTATAAAAGCTTTACTGTAAGATTTATCACGTTTCTAACACTAAGATGCTAAAGTGAATCTTACATGATTCTTACTATAAGATTCTTAAAAAGTTTGATGATTGATATCTTGTAAGATGGTATATAATCTTATGTGATTATAATTTTTATAATCTTATCTTTTCTTTTACGAACAGTTTTTATAGCGATTGTTTTTTGCAATGAAATAAATGTTTGGGTGGTTGCATATTAATGTAGAACAAAATTAACAACATGATAAAGAATAAGTATCATTTAACTAAATAAATAACTAATTTTTTATTTAGATAAATCTCAAGAACGTTGTCAATCGGTACGTATGAATTTATCGAAAAATTATTTTTCTCTCTCGATTACATTCAACAATTTGATGAAGGGTAAGTATAACGGTTTTATGACCGTTACGTTTCATTTCGTGTAACTCTATCCCTTTCTCTATATGTATTGTGTTCATGTGTTGACCTTGTCACTATCTCTCATTCTTTCTATCGTGTGACCGTTTGATTCTTTATTCTTATTCACTCAACCGCGCTCTCTCTTTCTACTGTAGAAGGCGATGTAAACGAAAGAAGAGCACGATTAGAGATGTGCAGATGACATAATACACCATCATACTGACGGACATAGATGCATACTCTCTCAGTTCGTCAAAGTAAGTGCTAGTCGAGGCTGAGAGGGAACAACCGTATACGACACAAAACGTAAAAAACCACCTTTGTCTATGACTATCGTAAACCATAAACGTACGATCGAACCTAGTCGTACGTTTAAAAATGAGGTGAATTGTACTTATCGAGGTCATAGGTTCCTTCATTTTGAATTCAGCAACAAACGCAATGTTAAGCATTTTTTCCAATGACTAATTTAATGTATCTGATTTAGATTACATCAAATAAAAGATTAAACAGTAAGTATTTATTTTAAAATAGATAATTTATTTTTATTTAGACAAAACAGAATAATATAACAAAATATAAGTGTTTATTTATTTTTAAATGAATGATTTTTCGTATTTAGATATGATCAGACAATATATTAATATTTATTTATTTTCATAGAACTATTTTTTATTTAAAGCAAATCGAACGAAATATTGAAATATATGTGTTCGTTTTAAATAAATCATTTTTTCATTTAGATAAAATCACATTATATACTAAAAGTAAAGGGAAACAATCGTGGAAAATGTTTGCTCAAATAAAAAAAGATTTCGAGTGTTTAATTGCGTATGGGTGTGGGTGTGGGTGTGGAGAATACACACTTGAACTAATACACGCACCCAAACCCATTTCGATAAATAAAAAGGCTATCTAGCTAAGAAAACAAACACACATTTATGTCTAAATCGATCTTATTCAGTCAGTACGATTTATTCGTTAAAAGACCACCTGATAAATACAGTTAAAGTTTTGCTATATTAATGCTAGATTTTTTTCTTTTAATAATATAAATATACATATGTATCAATGTTGTACATAATAGAACTCGTTAAAAGAAAGTACCCATAAAAACGCGTGAAATTGGAGTTACTAGCGGATAGAAACGCCTAAATCTGAAAAAAATCTACACATTTTAAACGCTCAAGTGTTGTAACGCATTGAAACGCGTTCAACAAATCGTAAAAACTGCATATTTACGATGGGTTATCATTAAAACGGCGTTTTAACAAAATTTTAAGGTGCTTTAACGCGTTTTATATAGAGGCTTATCTGACTGGGTATCGATCAAGGTGAAATATGTTATTAAGAATAATGATATGAAAGAATTAACATTGAATATATTCATCGCGTTGTGTTAGGTATTTACAGTAGAGCCCTGGCATTCGACCCGATCCACCGACGAGTTCGAGTTCAACTCGATCGGATTGCATCGGGTGCGACTTTGATTTCGAAATATATCGGGTTTTTGTCGGGTTACATTTTTCGTAACGATGCTTCTGGTTTCTATTTTTTGTTTCTATGCTATATAGAATTATATACAAAGAATAATGAAAAACATAAATCCATTGGTTACTCAGATTGGACTGTAATAATATACTCGATTATGATATCTATTTTTCGTATGAATTTAAGTTTTCATGTGTCTTTGTTATCTTAATGAAGTTTCTGCTTTTTATATGTTAAACATTGAAATAAAATAGTTCATCTTATGACAAACAACGAATGTAATTTGTCGGGTCGAGTCGGATTCGGGTTGAAACATCGTCGGGTCGGGTTTGACACGAATTCAAATAAAATTGTTGGGTCAGGTACGGATTCGAAAAGTCAATTAATAATAAATAACTGTGAGCATAATAAGAAGCCAAACTAACTCTGGGAACAATTTTTACTAGACGGACGATCCAAAGGCTCGATCGTTTTATAGGACAAATCATGGGTGGACTGGATTGAAGTTTGATAACTCATGTGCCAACGTTGATAGGCCCAGTCCAGCCCATTTGAAGTTGTGACAAGTATCATAAAAATCCATAGGTATTTAGGAAAGAAACGGAACTGACAACATTGATTTTATCAATTGAAGAAACGTTAGAAACTTGCCAAAGCTTTTACTTGGCTAGAAAAATATTTAGATAGGACAGATTCAGTGTTTCTTGATCGGTTACAGCTCTGTTTTACTATTCGTATACGATCGTTGTAATGAATGTCTTGGATCAGTCGGTTGCAGGTATTGCTTCTTTAGACAATAAATGAATTTGAAAAAATGCCAGACAAATCGTTTCCACAAGAGTTTTAATCTAATCATTAAAAATAAAAGAGTGACATTAAAATACAATATCAAATAGGATTTTCATTTGGGAAAATGTAACAAGAAAATAAGAAAGTAGAATATATAATGAAAACGATACAGACAACAATATATTGTTTAAACTTGTGCTATACTCATATGAAATTTGTTTCACAATTTTTTCAACAAAATCAATCATTTATCTTGATGAAATAATCTTCAAACGTCGTTGTATATTAGTTCGATATCGAGCAATACTCTTATGAAATTGTTCTTTATAAAAATTTGATGGTAATATATATATAACAAAAGTAAGCATAGATGGAATAAATGAAATAAAATATCCTATAAGAAACAACCATGAATCACTTGCTGATTTCATACATTTTGATACAAAATGTATTATTAGACGTGGTAATGCAAGAATAACTAATACAACTGGAGCAATAAATAAACTTTTATGTTGATGAAGTTGTTCTCGTAAAAGTTGGTTGTAAGTTCGATGAGTTTGAAAATTTGATTGTTGATGAGATTTCTTTGTTATCAGAATAATAGCTGATATTAAATTGATCACAAATGGAGCAAAAAAATGAAAAGTATGCATTATAGAATTAAATACTTGTAAACTAGTTGAATAAGTAATAATACACCATATTCTCATTTCACTATCATTTTCTTCATCAATTAAACGTCGATAATAAGGATCGTAAACTGACGTACTTATGATAAAAATAATAAGAGCAACAATGATTATTTTAGCTGCTTGTTTACTTTTTTTCTTTTGAAAACTAGTACCTTTTATTATTGTAAATGCTCGTTCAATGGCTACACAAGCATTTAACCATTGATTCATATTAAGACATAATTGTAGAAGAAAATCAAGAGAAATACATTGAATATGTAAGAATGTTCGATTTGATATGAATGCCATCTGTGAAAGAATAAGTATCCAAAACTTTAATCCGAATAAAATCATTGTAAGTATAGTTGTTATTGATGAACCTAATAAATATATACCACAACCAACTTCAAGTATAATTTTATTTTTAAATGTTATCATAGCAAGAATACTATTAATAAAACCAGCTACATTAAAGATAATATTCAATACTAAACTTATTTTTACAATAGTTGATTGATGTATGATACTAACATTTGGTATAATATGATAACCTAAAATAGCATCAAGTGATAAACCAAATCCACGTGTACTAAATTGACATTGTGTCCCATAAAAACATGAGGAACAAACACACATTGATTTTTTTGGACAATATGGAGTATCTTGAAAACATTTTCCTCCATTTTGACAAACACTTTGACCTAAACAATCAAATGTCATATTATGATCAAATTCAAAACAATTAGCAAGACGTTGTTTATAATAATCATAACATAAACAAAGATGAATATCATCATAAAAACAAGAAAGATTTAATGTTGATATTTGACATGGTAAATAATAATATTTTATACGACGAATAAGATCTAATTTAACAATACTTTCATTAAATATTTCACTTATATGTTGACAACGATCTGATGGATTTATCATTTTGTTAATTATTATTGATCGATTATAAACATTTTGAACAATAGTTAAATAATAATTTTTTTCAAAAAGCTCAATAAAAACAATATGAAATGGTCTTGACCAAAGAATTGTAATAAAATCTTCTATAACAGGAATTCTTTGAAATGTAGTCGATCTTATTGGTCTATTATTATTGATAACTTCAATAAAATGAATAAATATTGACTGTGATAAAATAATATTTTTTTCAAATGATAAAATTATTTTATTATCATCTATTTCACATCGATCTCCAGTATAACCTTTTCGACAAATACATATAAATTTTTTATTCGATATCATATATTCATCAGTAGGAATACATTGACCACCATTTTGACATGTTAAATTTTCATTATTTTGACAAATCGTATTGTTAAGAAGACATCGAGAACCAAATTTATTAATAGGACAAATACATATTGATTGATTATTAGGAGAAACACCAATATATAATGAATCAGATGAACACTTTGAAGAATGTTCAATTGTACAATAACGTCCAGACCATCCTTCATTACATTGACAAAATATTTTATTTTGTTTATTATTCAAATATTTAATACATTTACCATTAATACATGGATTATTTGAACAACTTTCAATATTAATATTATCACTAGGAATATCAATTATTAATGATAAACGATGAACAGGTAAAAATGAAAATTTAATTGGAAAAAATAAACTTCCTCGATAATTTAATGAAATTTTTTCATAAATATTAAATTGTATTCCATAATTTTTTGTTTGATTTTTTGGTCTATTTGAATAAATTAAATAAATATTAAATTTAATTTTACAATCTCTAATTGATAAATAAGTAAATTGTTCATATGAATGAATTATTTGTTCATTATTATCATCAATTAATAAAATAACAATTGCAAATGGTATTTGCCATGAATTAGATAATGCTCGAAATTTAATTGATAAACTTATTCGTTGATTTTGATATTGACATTTGTCACCATAATAACTAGGTGGACAGAGACATGTATTTTTGGTTATATTATTTTTATTATTTAACCAAACACGTAAATCAATACCACGATGACAACGAGGTTGATATTGATCAGACTTTTTAAGAAGAGGTAAACTTGAAGATATTTCATTTGCACTATTTTTTGTTAGATCTTTAACCGAATTGTTCATTCCATCAAGTGTAAAGTATACAACTGGTTCTTTTTTAAAACTATCCATTTGTTTGCATAAAAACTTCTCGACATCTGAACCGAATGATAAGTCCAGCGACCAACAATATATAAAAAGTGTTCGATTTCTTATACAAAATTGTTCATCATCTCCATAATAACAATTATTAATATTATTACATAGATATTGCGCAACGATACATGGTTCCGAGCTTTGATTCATGCAATAAAAATTATAGTCATAAGTTATTCGGTACTTTGTGCGACATAATTTTGGTTCATCCATAGCGCCAAGACAATCAACTTTGCCATCATTTGCTTTGTTAATAGGTAAATAAATAAATTGATTTGTATAAGGTGAAACACATTTGTGATGATCTGAAGAATAATTTAATGATAATAATGATGATAAATCACAATCAATTTCATCTGCACCATTAAGACAATTCCATAAACCATTACAATGAGTATAAATATTATTACATGGCCATTGTTCACATTCAGTTTCATCTGTTTCATTTTGTCCATTTATTGTTATTGGTAATAATTCAGTAAATCCATCACAAATTGTTTGGAATGAAATATGTTTTCTTGCATATCGAATTTTCATTTTTGTTTCTTCATCATTCACTTCATCTATATTTATAATTTCTTCTGTTGAAACAGTATAATTGATCGAAATTTTATTTTCATCATCACTATTAGGACAATCATTTACACCATTCATGAGACGATGTATAGAAATACATTTCAATGAATTGGAACATTGATACATATTCGATCTATTACAAATTGAAGAATTATAGTTATAAATTTCATGGTATCGCCAAAGTTCTGGCTGTAACTTTCGTAAATATAATCGGGATAATGAACTGACAGTGAGTTGCCAAAGCATTATTGGTATAATACGACGATGACACGTTAGATTATTGAATAATACAGTTGAATAATTGTATACCGTATTTGAATCTGCGACAAAATAATTATTGTAACGAGAATTATTATAGCATATATAGGGAAATAGAAATGTCTGACGGTCCAACATTGTTGAATTATATTTTTCATAAGCAAAATAAATATCAGCAAATAAAACTGGAATAGTTGGGATATACAACATATCTGGGCAGTCATGTTCAATGATTTCATAACACATATCGTATGTACAAACATTATTACAATTTGAATCAAATCGATCTCGTAAATGAACAGGAAGACATTGGAATGCAGACCGACATTTATTAGATGTTGAATTGTCTTTGATTGAATGCATGCTTTGGAATATTAAATTTTCACGTTTCTTCACACAAGAACTTGTTAAAGGTGAATACCTACATGTTACATCTTCACATTTAAATGATGGCATCAGTGCATCACATGAGGCTAGTGTGACAACAGATTCTTGAAATTCATCAGAACCATCAAAACAATCAGGAGCATAAATATCATCTTGAAAAAATGATTTTGGTATGCATTGTCCATTAGTACATCGATATTCATTTTCATTACATTCATTTATTTCAAGTTGCCAACAATGTTCTTCATCAAATCCACCATCAAGACAATCAATTTGTTCATTACAAATTTCAGTCCAATCTAAACATGCTGGAGAATGACCACGATTACATTGTAAATGAGTATAACAAGTCAAATTAGTTGGATTATATTTATAAATATAATAGAAATCATTAATCATTTCATATAAAGATAGATAATTTGAATGATAATAATCAATTTCATATTGACACATTGAACCAAATCTTGGTAATGTACAATTATAAAAGATTTTTTTTGATAACACTAAATCATTTGATATTGATAATTGATTTAAATACAATTGATAATCTTCAATGATATCTATTGGTGTTGACCAAAGATATAATTGTTGACTTGTTATATTTTGTTTTGAAAGTTGATCAAAAGTAAATTTTGGAAAAAAATCATTTTCTTCTATATGAAATTTCAATGGTAATTCACTCATACAATACACTATTATTTCACGACTAACATTTCCTTCTTCATTTAAAACATCAATACGCAAACAATCATGCTGTAATACATCATTATTTTCATTTTCATTTTCACTTACCCAACCTGTATTATGAAGATTGATTTGAGGTATAGCAATAATCAAATGTAAAAAAATAAAATAGAATAGATACTTCATATGAAACATCTCATATGTGTCATACAATAAAAAAAAATGAATTCATTATCGATTATGTATACATTGTGTATTTTTTTTCTCTTTTATAAAAGCATTTGGAGTAGTTGTTTTTACAAAAATTCATGATAAAATATGAACAAATTCATTTGTTCCTGCTCGGAAAGTGGAATTTCTATTTGCTGATATAAATTTGAATTATTATAACAGATGATGGTGCCAGGTTGGCATTAAGTAACTCCTTTTTGTGACGCAAATCCGAGTAAATATCTGATTTTTAACATAAGAAGTCATGAAAAAATTTCTGGAAAAATATTACTGTATTTTTCATTGACTAAAACATATGTAGGCAAAACTGAGTAAGTCCATTAAGAATCTACGTTAAAAAATCTTTCTAATTGTATGCAAAAAGTACTTAAAAACTTTTATTTTTGGATTAATGAGCGAATGTTCAAAGAATATTAAAATATATTGTGTAAAAACAATTTAATTTTGTGATATGTATCATGTTCATTCTCCATTCGATATAGCATTGACCTTTTCTATATTAAAGTCCTCATTCAATTTTTGACAAATTATGCAAAAAATATTACGGTATTATTTCAGAGAACACAGGAAAAAAATAATAACGGCGAATATGCAGCTATTTTCAGATCGATCTCCGGGTGGAGTGTGGGTATGAGCAAGGGAGAAAAAGCGGATCCTCATGGATCCTAGGATCCGTTAGAATCCATAGGATCCACCAGGATCCGTCGGCATCGGTTAATGTTCTGAATATTTACAAAATCCAAGAAAAAGAACGAGACTCATAACAGAAGGATATAAAATCCAAACCATGTTCTAGATGAATCAATGTGATCTTGAGGTGCTATTTTTGTAATTGTGAATAGTCTATTTACAAAGGAAAAAGAGTGAGTTCTGATGTATCCCAGGATCTACTGGAATTCATGTGGATCGATTAGAATCCTTGGATACTAAGTAAAAAGACAGAGAATTGGTCGTGAAATTTCTGACAAGGAAGAGAAAGCAAATCCTGGAGATTGAAACTCAGATGAGTAACGATGAATTTTGATGGTTTCTGTGGCTTATACGATCTAATTGGTTCTCTTAATATTCAGGTTTTCCATATTTATTTCATATTATTATGAAACCTGGTGGTTTCTGCTGAACTCTTGTGAACCTCAATAGACTCTAATGAATAATGATGAATTTCCCCTATGGAAAATATCTGATGTTTTGGAACAGTTCTCTGACATATCTCACAAGGGTCCTGCACAGGTTCACCGTTTTTTCTAAGGGAACAAGAAAATCTGAAAAAAGGTGTCTCCACGGAGCTTTAAGATGCTGAGACGATTTGAATCGGAATTCAATCAAGATCGTGAACAATTTATTACTATTTCGCAAACGAAAATCATCCAAGAAGCTGCAAAATCTTGAAAAAAATCGTGTAGTCACAGAATTCCATAGTTTGAACAAGATTTAAAACACAGTTTTCACTGGGTTCTGAGCAGTTTACCAAAACAATTGTAATAAAAAATATTTTAAGGAAGTGATAAATCCTTAGAGAAACGTGCAGCCACGAAGCAACAACGATTTGGCTAGGATTAGAAGAAGATCTTAAAAGCATTCCAAGCTCTTTTTCGTTAATTTTATGTCAGGATTTTGTTAGTATTTCAATGATATCTAATTGAAAAAATACATTCTGATTGCATCTCGCAGGACTTTATTTAAATTCTTCACCGATGTTATCCGATTTCTTGACGGAATCTTTGCAAGGTTTTCTAGGCAGAAAAGAGGAGAAATGAACGCACAGAGTATTGATTACTAGGTCTACATTTTACAAATCGATTACTTTACCGCAGTAGACTCTACCGAAACATTTAATTGCGCTTAAGCCATCGGCATTTTAATTCTGTCTAAACTATTAACTTGTATTTGCACTTTGTACAAACACATATTATTCCAAGAAATATTCGAATAATTAAATATTAAACTCAATACATTGATTATTTATCATGAAATTTTACTATCACTTATCCATTTAAGTTTGAATGAAAAAGTAATTTTTTAAAATAATTTAACACGAATGAACGAAATGCATTAGAAATTTTCATTGAAGTACTCGTCTCTTACTGTAAGTCTTTTTAAAGGAAAAGTTAATGTAACAGTTAAACTGACATTAAAATCTCCATTTTAATGAGTTTTCAAGGATTATATGACAATAAAATCTAACAGATAAGTGGGTTCCATGCCATGAATGTTATACCATAGTCAATATAAATCTTAAAAAGATTTGAAGATAAATCTTCTAAGATTTTGCACGAATCTTCCATTCACCTTCATAGAGATGCAAATGAATATCAGAATAACATTCAGGCATGTTCTTGAACTGTTGTGTTTCTGTCAGAGTTGAAACAAAAAACATAATGAAATCTTGAGTAGCTTTTCTGTTTGTAGCTGTTAGTATTTTACTTACCATGCAGTGTAATTTATTGAGATTCCAAGGTTCGAAAATCTTCAAAGAACCTTAAGCAGGAACTGCTTAAAATTTTGATGAAACCTTTTCATCAATTTTTTAAAGCCTGAAACAGGTCAATCATAAATCTTCTAGATTCCTCAAAATCAATATCATAACTTACCATTAACTACAATTCGATAAAATCGGTTACAAAATATAAGAGACAACCAGAATGTAGCAGAAACCACTACGCATAAAAATACTACGAGACCGATGGAGGAAGCGCAGATCCTGATGGGTCCTAAAAATGCGCACAATCGAACATGACATGCCAAAAGATACTGAGACACATACCCATCTCAGTGTCCTGGATCTGCTTTTTCTTCTTCATCACAAATTCTGAAGCCACTTTTTTTCTTTTTTTCATTTAGCTTCTTTGGACTCTAATGAGTTCTTGCATCTATTAGGCTCAGCTGTTTCCACCTTCTTTTTGGCATACTTCAAATGATTTATTCTACAATTCATCAGATTCTATCAGGATCTACAGGATCCACCAGAATCCGAGGATCCAGAATCCGCTTTTCCCCCCTTGGGTGTGGGTGTGGGTATGACAATAGAGAGGATATCCACCTACACACACTCACCTATCCACATCCACACCCCATATCCATCCACACCCCATACCCACCCACACCCACAACCCACACCCAAGGGGAAAAAAGCGAGACTTTAAAATTGGAGTACAGTTGGAGTACAGCTGGTGTACGGGTAGAGTACAGTGAAAAAATAAGGTTTTTAAAAACTTATTTTTCGTTTTTCTCAAAATCGGTTTTTTTTGTCATGCAGTTTACTCGGGCAGGTTTTTCTCCATAACGATTGGACATGGAAGTGATAATTTTTTTTATTATATAGGAGACATGTAGGGCTAGGACTTAACAGGCTCCGATTTTTAAATTTCTCTTTTGCTAAAATAAAAAACTTAGAAAGTTCATTTCTATTAGCACCTCGAATTTGAATATTTTTCGAAAAACGTTCTTTAAAAATCAAGTAAAGGGAAATTCAAAAATCGAATGCTGTTAAGTCCTAGCCCTAAGGGTACTCTACAACTTGGAAACTGCGCGCACTTGTCAGCTCGTATCCTTATTGTGAAATCCTTGCCCGCGTAAGGGATAATGAATTGACTAGAACTTGTGCATTTCTTTGAGATTTGTGAAGATATTTTAACCATAAGCTATTCTAGTCAAGACTAACATTCTCTGAAATTTTGGTTGAAATCGGATGAAAAATAACAAAGTTAGTTTCTGAGGGGGGGAGGGGGCTTAAGTTGAAAACGAAATTTTTTACGTTCTGCATAACTAAATGCCTCCTAGTATGTGTCATATGTCTTAATCTGATATTTAGATAGTTGTATTACTAATCCTTGAGTTTTTATTTATCGATCTTCATTTTATAAAAGACACAAAACAAAATGGTCGGGTGCTTTATATGGATTTGGATTTTGCTTATTTCAGCTATATGTTCTTCCAATCATGGTGATGATGATTACAATATTGATGGAATAGTTGTTAATGAATGGGAATTTGTTCGTGATTTATTTAAAGAAAATTTCGTTGAACAACGAGATTTAGGTGCTTCTATAGCCATCTATCATCAAGGTAGATTAGTTGTAGATTTATGGGGTGGATGGTTTGATCGTTCGTTCACTAAACCTTATGATAATAATACATTACAGTTAGTATTTTCAGCCACCAAAGGTTTAGTAGCTATTGCTACTGCATTATGTGTTCAAAAAGGATTACTTAATTATTCAGAATTAGTTACAAAATATTGGCCTGAATATGGACAAAATGGCAAAGAAAATACAACAGTAGCAGATATACTCTCACATCGTGCTGGACAACCATTTACATCAGGCCCATCCGAACAGATTTTCAATTGGACAGCAATGATTCATGCATTAGAACAACAACGACCATTATGGCCACCTGGAACTGCTCATAGTTATCATGCACTCACATATGGATGGCTTACTGGTGAACTTATACGACGTGTTGATCCAAAGAAGAGAACTGTCGGACAGTTTATTCAAGATGAAATTGCCAATCCATTACAAATCGAATTTTATATTGGTTTACCATTAGAACAAGATTATCGTGTATCACCACTTACTTTAAGTTTAGATGATCTTCGAACAATGAATGATTCAATGAAAGCTTTTTATATACTGTACAATGATCCTCGTCTACATCAAGCTGAAATACCAGCAACAAATGGAATAACAAGTGCTAAATCATTAGCAAGAGTGTATGCATCTCTAATTATTAATTTGGACGATGGAAAACAAAAACGATTGTTGGATGAAACAATTCTAAATCAAGCAACGAAATCAAACACACCTAAAGATGAACTCGATTTTATAACAGGTACACATTCAGCATTTGGTATGGGATTTACCCTGTTTGATCAAACATTTCCAATGTTTAAATCAAAAATATTTGGTCATATTGGTAAAAATTTTCAAGACACTTTTTCATGCATTCGTTTTCCTTATTAAAATTTAGGAGCTGGGGGTAGTATTGGTTTTGCTGTACCTTCAAAAAATCTTTCATTTGCATATGTTGTGAATCAACTTGATATGACAAGAAGAAATCCTACTCGTCAACGAATTCAAACAATCCTGGAAAAAATTTCAACAAAGATCAGTGACGATTATTAACATTAAATCATTTTTATTTTTTGAGAAAAAAATATATAGAGAATGTCTATTTAATGACTAGCTAGTGTTCTCTTCATCTACACTGGCACCCAGACCCTCCATCTAAGGTAATTAATGGATCCATCATATTGTACATACTAATATCACAAAAATTGCACTGAAAATTTTACTTAGAAGCGCTTTTTTGTCGAGGTTTCTCCGAGTATTGGCTGTTTTAAAAATTTGCATTGGAGAAGAGGTTTAGAAATTTTGAAATCTCTTGTGTCATACTCACATCGGCTATATCACTATCAAAATGAACAGAGTTAGGTAAATTGAGTATTTTTAAAAGTTCTTTCGACATTTGAGATTCTCTCACTGCTTTCAGGCAGACGTATCCTTTATCTTATGTGTGCAGTGTTTTCGTCGATAAAAAAAAGTGAGTAATAAATGGAATCGAATGAGAACTATGAGAACAAATGACATGAATTTTGAAGTTTATATATATTTGTAATTTAAATCATTGAATGATGTCGTATAAAAAACTTATGAATAGAATGTTGAATTATTGATAGTTTCAAGTGAGTCTTTTCTATGGAAACCAACGCTAACAGATACGTTATCTAGCTGTCATGATTATATGTCGTTATTATTTTAACGCGCTCTTTTTTGATGCTCCATGTTTACAGACTTTCTTGCCAAATATAATGATTTCATGTAATGCATACAATTCCACCAGTGAATAACCTAACAGTACAAACGGTGTTAATATAAAATGAAATGCATTGCGAATATAAATACATTGAGAAACATTCATTAATTGAACAATAAGTGCATCAATAATAAATGCAACCAAAAATGTTAGCATTTGTAGACATAAAAAGCCATACATGAGATATACAATCATCGGTGGAACATGCTTGACGATTAGAATCATGGATAGCATAGATGTTAAACCATACAAACCAGCTGTACAGAGCAAAACTCCATAGTAAATGATGAAAACGAGACCCCAAGAGAAGGCCGCCATTTTCGGCATACGATTCGCTTTGATAATAAAATAATGAAAGACTTCTGCAGCTCCGATCGTCCAACGACGTGCTTGTCTTGCCCATTCCATGATTTCGATTTCCATGGTTTCACCTGATGTTGGCCCGCTAACGACTGGTACAGGAATCATCGAAATTCGAAGACGTTGCTGCGTTACACCCATCCATCGAATGAGACAAATTATGTCGTCCATTTGATATCCTGGATGAATAAAATTGCCTTTTTTTGCTAGACTGAGTGAATACGAAAAAATACTCATCGTATTGATGTTAAATGGAATGAGGGCGCCGAGCATCAATAAACTTCGCAAAAGTCCCGTGACACGAGTGACAAATGACAAGCTATCTAATTTCCAATTGTAAAACAAAGGTGATTGATAGATTGTAGTTAATGCCGGTTGATTCTCTTTTAGATATTTCCAAGTCAATGCTGCAATATAATCTCTTGGAAATTTTGAATCAGCATCACATGTGGTCACAAGAATGTTTTTCATATCATCGTCAGCAACATTCATTTCACTAACAGCCTTTCGAAGACCGTAATTTGAATTGGAACATTTACCAGGAATTTCATTTGACAAACCATATGGATGAGTGGTAAATATGATTCGCTCAAAGCCAGCATCTTTGAATTTATTCTCTAAGTATGTACATTTCTCTTTTCTATCGGGTGTTTTCTGTTCGAAGGAGATCACCATGGTTATTCGTTGTACTTCAGTCTGATCGGCCACGGATTGAATACTTGTTGCAATCAACTCGACTGGTTCTTTATAACAACTAATCGCAACTATATGACGAATATGTGTTTTCTCTAGATTAGTAATCTCTTTCACATAGTTATACGAGCGATTCGCATACAGGATGAAGATATTTTTCATGGCTAATACTGCAATTACTAAAAAAATCAAAATTAGATAGATCATTTCGAAGAATGAAAACATTTTCGAATTGTCTTACTAGTCCACATGAAAACAATAACACCTTGAATCGATGGTATTATGTATAAGGCAACTTGGTTCGAAACGAAGGGAATCCAACATGGAAGTGGAACGACAAGCCATAAAAGAAGATTAAATAAAAGATTCCAACGTATCCTTTGACTACCACTTTTCATTTCAACATGTTTTATACCAGTTTCAATGATCGTATGCTGAGATACTGGTTCAATGATAATATTTGTATGATGGTTGATATCCGTATTCTTATCGACGGATCTTAGTCTAGGGAATATTGGTGTTCGTAAAATTTCATTGACGAATTGTCCTTCTTGTTCTAGTCGATCAATCTTTTTTTCGGCTTGCACCGAGATTTGACGAATGAAGTTCTTACCCCGTGTTGACAAATTTTCTACGACAGCTTGTTTAACCTGATCAGCTATACCGTCCATTTTACCATAGTTCTGATATTGTTCACTCAGAAAACGAACGAGTTTTCGTGGGTTGTCTTGCATTGTTCAGCTTATTATTATGTATACATAGGTATCGGTTGGAAAAACATCTTTCTTATATATAGATTCAGGTTAGTTTATTTATTTTCTTCCGCCAATGTGAATAAGTGTGAAAAAGTGTCTCACTTCCTTCGTTCGTCATGTGTGACCAAAATACATACAATTCTATTAAATGACCTATAGAATCAAAAGTAAATTTGCCCTCTGGGAGAAATCTTTTGACGCACATCCTTCTTGGTTTCTTCCTACTATTACTTATTGACATGTGAGACACACACCCATATGTGTTATGCATGCGTATATACAATAAAATGCAAAAGTCTTTGCTCTTCGCATAATGACAATTGCTAAATGTATATCTCCGAAAGTTTCTAAAGAGATTGATTTCGAGATTCTTTTCAGAAGTTGAGGAAAGATCTATATAAAGCTTTGTAAACTGAACTTTGTCTTTAACATTCTTAGGTTGGTAGACAATGTTTTGACAATAAAATTCTACTACATCGGTAACGAAGCGATCAACTATTTAACACTACTAAAATAATGGTCATCGATCTTCTGGAATGATAACTCGTCTGATGAAGATCTCCATTCAGATTGTCCAAATACAATGTTGCCGAGATCAACGAGCACTGTAAACTTAAGAATAGACGTTATAATAGCTGAAGTCGTCAAATTACTGCTGATGACGACAAGGCACCTGGGAATCGGATTTGACGAAACAATAAGACGCAAGCGAAAGAAGTGTTGCCAAAACTGCTTCAGAACTGAGATCGAAATTAGTTCTGATGAAAGGTAAAGTTGTACCTCAAAGGAATGGATTACACAAGTACTTTGCTCTATGCGACGTCATTATTGACACAGAAGCAGAAAGATGATTATAATCAAAGAACATTCATAGACGAGATTTGCTACCTGTTGTTTGGAAACACCTTTACTCGATGGTCAATGAATTTAAAAGCTCAGTGCACGAGTGTTCCGAAGATCAGACAAAAGATCATCGGTTGTAATGACTTTAGTATCAAGTGCCTATGTAACCATTATTCGCTCAAGAGTATTATGGATGACTCTTACTACGTTCAAATTCATCAAAAGAACCTTATCAGTAATACCCGACACAATTCTGTCAATACCTGCAGCTTTGACAATACCATGAACCCAAAACCAGAAGTCCAGTGGCAAAGAAATTCTTGTGCAAGGAAGTGAACAAAATTATCAACTGACCATCGAGCAGTCTCGATATTAACCCAGTGAAAAACCTTTGATCGATCATTGAGCATCGTGCCGAGAAACGAAAACCATCGAATCTCGATAAATTCGACACGTTTTGCATAAAGAATGAGACAAACTTCATTTGATCATTCTGAACCATACAGTCAAATCCTTTCAAGCACATTATTTAGTATTGATTGATTCGAATGCAGAGATGATCAGCTACTAATTGTAATACTTTTGTACCTTGTATCATGTCTTATTTGTACATATATTTCGTTTCCATATTAATCATGTTCATCCTGAGAAATACTTGAAATACTGCGGACAAAGACTTTAACACGCTACTGTATACACTATATATATGTATGCATATATTGTATAAATATGTAAATATATAAATATATGTGGCTATGTATGAGTGTGCATGTCGAGAGTTCAAGAGAATTGACCTAGTAGGTTGATGGATTTTGTGAACTTTGGGATTCTTTGATCAAGTATATAATGCCTTCTCCTTATGAACAACGATTCATCCAAAGGGTGCAATCAGAGCTTTCGTATCTATTTTGAATCGATTTCACGCATCCTTTTACCAGTCTTCCTTGAAATTTCAGTATTTTTCTTGTGTTCGCATGTCCTCTCTCGCTTCAAAGATTCTGAAATTCGCCACAACTTGTTGAATAGTAACCAACAAAACTTATATTATTGTAGAAATGACTAGCTCAATGTCAACACTTCCATTTCCAAATTCTGTAGTTCAACATTAAATTCATGGAAATTAAACCAATCAAACTTCCATTCTGTTCAAGGGTGATTATTTGAATGAAGGCATTGGTCATCATATTCACATAAAAGATAAATAGTTATTTCATGTTCTGGATGGCAGAATCCAGTTAATAGTGAATGGCACACAATTCTGCGCTTCGACTGCTGATTATACTTATGTACTTCACAATGTACCATAAGGTATTCGATCGTATAATCCAACGAATACTGCAAGAAGAGTCAGAATTTGGATCGCGTTACTTCCGTCTGAACTTGAGAATTTTCTCGATGAAATAGCTGTGCTATACAATTAAGATCGACGAAGTCAAATAGCATTCGATATTATTTCTAAAAAAATATGGCATCATTGATTTAGCTCCAGTTCAATTGAGAGAACTCAGTTGTTTTGACAATATTTCTAGCCAATAAATATCAAATATTCTAAGTAGTTTTCATATTTTTAGTCCTGTTGAAATATTTTCTCGAATAAATTGTCTCGAATTCATTTGTTTACATACAATATGTATTCACTGTTATTCCTTTTGATCGTCTCTTATGTAAAAAATTTCATCAATTTTCTGTGTCGACAATAATTTTTGTTCATTTATTTCCAAAAATCTCGAAGGAGTCATGCACAGATGAATACTATTCTCGATGCAACAAGAAACGATATATTTTAATGGTTAACATTAATGTATTGTATACGCCAGTCAATCATTTGTAGGCTTCTTTCATTCTCCTAACATCTCCATATTAGGAAAAGGAAGCAATCCACGTAGTGCTCTTACTTCTCTAATGCTGATTCACAATACTGTAGCTTGATAGAAAACGATTCGTAACTTTACGGTCTAAGCAATTGATAGGTTTTTGATTCTCTCCCAAGCACCTGCTTCGAACAACTGATTGAAAAGCCGATAAATTGAAGAAAAAGAGAACATATCAAGAACTAAACATCAGTAACTCAATGCATATCTTACTACTCGGATTACTATTTCCCATAAAACATTATTTAAACAATAGGACTATTATTCTTAGTTCATTAACAAGAAAATCACTATCCAAACATAGCACCTAAATGAACTCGTATCCTCTAAAAGCTCTATATCTATTTGAGTATTATCTGTGTGTGAGCTTTACTCGCCACTGTTTGAAGCAAAGTTCGGAACTGTTCTCAAGATTTTCTTTCACTTCATTGCAATCGCATACATAGTGTGTGTGAGCGTGTGAGTGAAAAGAAGAACTCCACAGACACCACTGAACGCACAGCCGACATGAATACACTCACATTCATCCTAACACCCCACGCCTACATCTCGACTGAAGAGATTGTGAAACGTTGAAAGACGTTATAAGAACTGTCTGGAAGATTCCGCTGAACAATTTGTTTGGAAAAGCGAGAATAGAACAAAGAAAATGGAGACGAAAGCAATACATTTTTCATACCGCTTACTATTTTTTTTCTTTATTAGTATAGATCTAAATATAAAAAAATCAGTTTTCTCTTCAAGGTGTGTAACGTTCCATTAGTATCTAATTAATATGAACATAAATAGAAAAAGAGTGAAATATTAGTTTTTTTACTGGGTGTATAAGTTATCATTTGTGTTTTATCAATATGAATCTAAACATAAAAAAGAAAATATTTCTTTTCTCTTTAAGGTGTGTAACTTGCCATTTGTATCTGATCGATCTCAACATAAATAAAAAAAGAAGGAAGTACTAGTTTTTTTTATGGGATGTATAATTTGTTATTTGTGTTTTATCTGTCTGGATCTAAATATAAAAAAAGAAAATATTAGTTTTCTATTGACGGATAGGTGTGTTGAGATCGATATAGAAATTTTCAGTTTTCACACCCATATCCACATCCACACCTACAATCTCACCATATCACACACCTATAAAGGTTACTTATCAAACGAAATATCACGCCTCTCCATGTAGAAATATCTGTTTCACATTTACTATGCGTAATCTATGACGCATACTTCCATCATTTGCTATCCTTAGGCACTTCCTAAATGAAATATTGAAAAAGGCTTGATGACATGCTTCAAAACGACATATCGTACTATTTTTCAGAGAAATCGCTACTCCATACTTTTTTCAACGGATATGACAATCAGCATCAAGACAATGTATTCGGAAAATCTTCTCAGAATACTATAGTCCAGGAGAGATTGCTTGTGTATGTCGAACATTGTTCTGATATCCAAGAGACATCGGTAAGACATCGTCTCCATCAGAAACGCGTTTTCAGTCAGAGACGACGATGTAATATTGGCATTCATGAAATATTCCAGAACATTTCATGGATATCAGAATGCCCACAGCTAGGAAGTAATGATTTCTACTAGCTTACGATGTCTTGAGCACAGAAATCGCGGGAAAGATCTCATGAATGCTGAACACTATATCCGTTGAAAATCATGTGAAATAACGATTTCTGCTGATAAATGACAGGACAGTCCATTTGGGGGGATATTACCAACTATTGGTATGGATTATTTTGTTTTTTCTGTGCCAGTCTCCTTGCTTTAATCTGATTCAGCTATATTGGTATACTTCTACTTTACTGTATTGGTATTTTCTAGTACATTGGTGTATGTATACCGTAACTATGTTTAGATAAAGAGAATTCAGATTGGTGTCACAAGTAGTAGAGACTGCCAGCTTACTCGTGTCACCAACAAGTTTGAGAATATAAGGTCTAAAGGAGCAAAATCTCGAGTTACGACATATCAAACGAACGAAATTCGAAAAATATTGATTATATGCGAAATTGAGATATAGATTAGAATACATTGATGAAGAGCTTGATGATGTGAGTATGGGTGTTGCTAGCGGATAGTCAACAACTCTCACTACTATGAAGATATAAACTGCATTCTCTATCTAGACCAGCGTTCTGATAGCATCATTTTTTTTTCTATAGGCTGTCTCTTTCAACTTTGGCTGAAACATAAATTGAGAGATCTGTCTCGTTTTATGTTCCATCCATGATATTAGGTCTCTGTGTGTTCTTCTAGTGCCGCTCGATATCTCATATGATATTTTATGCAAAATAGTCACTTAAATTTAGTGTTTTTCATTTTAGATCATTGTTACATAAACTTCAATTCAATGAATATTCTCCTAATATGGACGCTGCTACTATTGCAGTTGACGGTAACTCTATAGACTTCATCTTTTCATTAGGATTCCAGAATTTCTTGTACATGGAACAGTCAGAATGATGAGATATTGTAGAATCCAAGGGCTTTTAAAAGTCTGTTTTGTAGTACCATGGATTATTTCATCGCTGTATTTTCTGGAAGTCTTTTGTGAATTTTTGACTTCATCTGCTCCAAGATACGGAAAATTACGCATCACGTCAAGTTTTGTTCAGAATCTTAGTCAAAAAGTGAATATCTGCCTCATCGATTCAGATGGATTAGCTAAATTATTTTGAAGTATAAAAATAATGATTTAGTTTGCCTGATTCAAGATTTTGATGATGAGAACATTTTGAACCCGTAGAATATACGGTTTTTGATGAATACTGTCTATCTAGATTGAGAGTTCCATACTTAGTTCGAAGTTGTACTGTAGCAATTCAAATTCAAAATTTCTTTAGGAAAGACTTGATATATTGGAACAGTTTAGAATCGTTGAAAAAAACGAAATTTTCAATGATTGAAAAGCATGCTAAAATGTTATTCGTCTTTCTCAAAGTGATCGATGAGATCTATTTGAAATGATTGGTTCTTTGTCGTTTCTTACTCTATTTTGGCAGCTTCTTGGCGGTTCCTAGCTTTTTGAATGTCTTTGGTTGATATCTATCCGAATACGCTTGAAACCGAACAAGAAACTCTCAAAACTAACGACAACGAATGAATCAAGTAGGCGTATATACCATGAAGCAATGCTTCTCGTATGATCATTGATTTCATTTAGAATTTTAAGGCTAATCCATACTGAAACATGATACAACAAAAGTCAATCTGATTTCAGGTTATAATGCTCACTATCTTTCTATTATTTTAATAAACGTCAAGACTTTCAAACACGTTGCGACGAAAATACCGACAGTTGTGTTAAGTTTTTCTCTTCCGAATGAGACTTGTGCAAAGCTATTCAGTAAAAGACATTCTCTTGACTGGAAATCTAGGTTCATACAGAACAAAATATTTTTTTTTGTTTGCAAGATGGAGGAAAACATCAAATAGAAATGGCTAAGATTAATTTCTTATAGGTGCCAGACATAATGGGAACTTCTTTTAGTCAATTAAATAGTGATTATGGAAGTTACAATCCGTTTTTTGAGAAGAAAGTGATCGAAGAACATCGTCCAGATGGGTACTGGATTGAAGCTTTTCAAGTAGACAATCAAACTCTTATTGGACTGATAGGATATGGAATTAAAAGTGGAGAGATAAAGTTTTATCCAAATCCATCCACAACTACAGAACCAGGAAACGGTACTCTTATTCAAAAGCTAAATAGTCCTGTAGGCATGGATCAAGCTGACATATCAGGGGATGGCATGAATGACATAATTATCTGTTTCCAATATGGTAATACTACGTTAGACAGCGATCCTGAAGGAGGAAAGATCGTATGGTTGGAAAATCCTGGACAGAATATCGATAAAAAACTATGGAAAATGCATTATGTTGGAAAATCTCCAACTATGCATAGACTTAAAGTTGGTCATTTTACGCAAAAAGAACGTTGGGAGATTTTAGGGTTGCCTGTTATCGGCAAGCCTCATGATTTATTCTCAGCAGTGCCTATACTATTATTTCGACAACCTGATAACTTATTCAATGCTACAGAATGGCCATATGAAATAATTAATCAGCAATTTTTCCATATAATTCATGATACAAAACGATTTAATGTTGACGAATTTGATAGTCTACTTATTGCATCAAGCGAAGGTATTAATTGGCTTTATTTTAATCAGAAATTAAACCAATGGATAATAGAGAATATTGGAGATGGTGAACAGAAACAACAACAAATAGCTTTCTACGGCAGTGGCGGCATCGATTTAGGACGAGTTGAAAACGATTCTTTTGCTTATATGCCGGCCATCGAACCTTTTCATGGAAGTGTGATTTCGGTCTACATCAAAACCATGAAGAATTCTTTGAAACAAAATCAATGGAAAAGATATGTGCTAGATGTTTTTGGTTATCCTAATGAAAATAGTGAAAGTCCAAGTCATCATCTCATTTGTGCTGATTTTGACAAAGATGGAGACGATGAATTCTTAGTTGGACTTCGTGGACCATCTCCGACTAAAGGTGTCTACTTTTATAAGCCAATTGATCTTTCTCGTGGTTTATTTGCTAAATGGAAAGTTAGCGATGACTCAGCTGCCAGAATTACTGTTGCCGACTTTGACAATGATGGTCTTCTTGACTTTGCAACCACTAGCTATAGTGTCCCCGGTTATTATACAGAAGAAAACCCTTCTATTCACATCTTTTACAATCGATTCGCTCAGAAGAAGCCACAAGCTAAAAAAGAAATACAAGTTATGAAACAAAATGAAGATCTTTTGTTCAAGGTTTCAAGACCAAGGAAAGCATTACAATATCAAGCAGTACCTTTTATTACAATAGATGGAATAACTTTATCACTAGAAATTGTACCACCTCATAGCTCACGTTTAGTGGACAAAAAAACTTATATCAAAGTTCTTTCTGGAGTTATAATGTGGACGGATTCTTCGAAAAACTCCTATCAATCCATCAACCACTCGCGCACATTCTTTTGTGAACGAAGAACTGTTGCGCCTCTTGAGATACACAGTGATAATGACCGAATAACAACTGGAAGTGAAGGTGCTCTTTTGATTGTATTCAAAGCACGTGATGACATCAATGGAATTCATCGAATCGATGATATTAAAAAAGTTATGATCAAGAACTCATTACCGGAATACTATCCTGAGGAAACTCGTCAACTTGATTTTCAATTTGTCCGATATGATCAATATGACACGAGGTTACAGTTCAAAGATCTTGAATTTTACAATCTGAAAGGTTTCAGGATAAACTTTGCTGATAACGACGAACATCTTTGCTATATGCAACTATGGGCTGCTGGGCAAGGTGTTAATGCTGGTGTACACAATCATGCGACAGATTCCTTCTGTGAAATCCATGTCTGTATTATTAACGGAAGTGGACAAGGCGGTATGCACTATCTCAATAGCTCCAAAGATGTTTATGATCCACTCACTACACCAGATTCAGCATTCAAAAAGCTAGCATTACCATCGTTTTATGAACACGGTCCTCTATGGGATATCGATGCTCAAAACAAACCAGTTTTACGAAATGATGGTACTGTAGTTTATCCTTGGCATAAATGGCACTCTGGCATAGATAAATCGGTCAACCAATCATTTGATGTTTGGATGGTTTTTGAATTCAATAGTGAACTGTCAACACTACCTATCCAAATGAATGAAAATAAACATTCACTCTAAACATATTAAACGCATTTATGATGATGATTGTCGTTGACATGCATTACTGAGCTTCTATTTGAATTGTTGTGTTCAGTTTCTGCCTTTATAAGCTTTTTTAACTAAACATTTTTTATTACACATATTTATTTCATTTTTTTGAATTATTCAAGAAAATCGTGGTTTAAGAATAAATAGAACTTTTCAACTGAAAGACGAAGAAAAAGAAAACATTTTAGCACGTCAACGTTCTATATCAACAAAACAATATCGTCATAAATTTAACAGATTCAGATTCCATTGTTTCAGACAAATCAAATACTAATTTCTTAATCATTAACATTTCAAACAGTTATGGCACAAGATTGACGCATTTGTTTAAATGCTTTAGGGCTAATTTTTGTGAATATATTTATCAGTTATTATGGGTACTAGAAGGCGATGCAATACTCGATTAATAATGCTATTTAAAGCCTGTGTTCCATATTCATAATAATTAAAATAGAACAATTTTTTATCATGTTTTTTTTTGCGAGGTAGAATGAAAATGATCGGAACAAAACATTCATATAACAAGTCTCATGATGAAAATAAAATGAGCTATGAAAGAATACTACTTGATGCAATGCAGTTAATTTTTGATTATTGCATCAAACATTGTAAAGATCTCATGTTTTCTTGCATATCCAAACATCATCGAACCATTGATTTATTCAAATATTTCTATACAGGTCTTCTGGTTCATATAAATTTATTCACTAATAAATGTCTTCAACCGTCGACGTTGACAATAAGCATTTTTTTGGTGAATGTTGTTCATCAATGAAGTATTTTTCTAATTGTGTTCACCATTTGTCACTACTCGAATGCACAGAGAGCAATATCTACAGTTAAAAATCGTATATAGAAAAGTTTAGCTTAGTACAATTCTTACATATCATTCAATTTGCATCGAATGAAAACGAACCGTCAATGAACTATAGAAACATCGAAAGGCTTCGCGATTTGTTATTAAATAGTAATTTCAATGCACTCACCGCAGTAGAATTGAATATAAAAGAGGGCATCGTTCTCGACAAACAATTATATTCGAAACAACATCTCAAACAACTAATCATTACACTACAGACAGTCGATGATCTATTTGTACTATTCGACAGTCTGGTGCCTAATTTAATCTTGCTTAGTGTTACTGTACGTCAATCTAACGAATGCGAACGATCACCGATACCACGAAATTGGTCACGTCAATTTATGTTGCATTTGATTGAATTTCGAATAACGACCAATAAACAAGTGGCATATACATTTGATCATTTACGTGGAATTATTATGCCTCTAATTCAGCTCGAGAAATTCATAGTCGATGTAAAACAATCGATTAGTGACGATAAATAATTTGTAGAAAGCGAACAAATTGAAATATTAATTTCTCAATTTATGCCTCGACTTCGTCATTTTCATTGTTTCATACCAACAGTCAATAATATCAATATACAAGTAAATTATCCTATTATTCAAATATCAAATTTCATTTATAACAATGATGTTTTTATCATAGGTTTTTTTTAGACTTTTATGACACTAAGTAAACGTTGGTTTTTAACATACAAATCGAACTTGAATAGTTTATATACACATTTTTACATAATTTCATGGTCATTCGAACAACTTCACACAACAATGTTGGCGGATGATGGCACGACCAGTATCTGTCCAAATGTTCGATATCTAACTGTCAATGCACCATGTACAAATTTATCACGACGTTTTCCAAACATTCACACGCTCAACGTTCTATCCAAATGTAATTTCTCTGATGATGATCATATTGAATATCGTCGACTTATTCGCCATTTAAAAACAACCAATATCAATATAGTTCCTAATGTATTACATTTGATTTTGGAAAATAGACAAATTGATCCGTTGAATATTGTTAATACATTTGTAAAATACTTTCCCAATCTTCATTCGCTCAAAATTCAATTTAAAATAAATGCTAAATATTACAATTGTCTCAATGTGCTACTTGACAGTGTACATTTGCCACATCTGTGGCTTTTCAAAATAAATTGGATCGATCGATTCAACTTTTGTCCGAATATTTTAGTATGGATAACTGCGAAGACACCTTTGAAATAGAAATCGACTCTATTTTACGGACACTGTGATGAAAAGGACTTCACTATTTGTCTGTAAAATAGTTTTGTAAAAAAAAAAAAAAAAAAAAAAACTCTTTACGTTGATTAGAACTGTTATTTATTCTACTTTTGCGTTGCATCTATTTCGTCATGTGTTCAATTATAAGTTGTATCTATCGATTGTTCGAACATAAATGTATCTGAATCAGTACGAAACACCACATATTACCAGAGATACTTTACTATTCAATTGACTAACTTTATTTCGACACATATTGCCGAAAAACCATTTTTGAAAATGGAACTATGGTCAAATCTTCTTAACAATTCTAGAAAACACAACTGGAGCCGATTGAGTATCAGTGAATCAGTCTGGCCAAGAGATTTACATGGCACGAATTTAAACTCTAAAGAAAATCAGCTGGCCAGACCTTATTTACGTGATTTTTTCTAAATCAAACTTTACCAAAAGTCCTGTTGAAAAATGTGAAAACTACGAACACATATTTCATTGAATTATACAGAAAGAGAGTCTTAGAGTTAAAGAGGTATCGAATCGTATGGGACAAGTTTTTTGAACCAATTTTTTAAGGTTTTCAAGTATAAGATGTGCACCCGAACTGTCATTGGAAGATCTACAAAACTACGCAAGCGTCAAATTTTTAAATTTTAACTATTCAGGAGTCATAGGTATTCTAGGTAAAAATTCTTTTTTTTTTATAAATTTGATTAAATAAAATTCAGAGAGAGTCTTAGGAGAATCCATAATATGAAATTCGATGAGTTTTCATTTTCTCTCTGTATTGTTTTTATCAAAAATGATTCGAAAAATATCTACTCGCCTAGTTTTTTTTTGGAAATGGGCATTAGATATGTTTCTGTTTTTTCTGTAATAACAAAAAATTTGCTTCATTCATTTATTGAATTGCATTTATTTGGATGATTATACGCTGAGTTATTCATTTCGAACTGTGCTCTTCTGTTATATCTGATATTCTAATAAACGACAAATAGTTTGTTGGATAAATAATTCCTAGCGACTATGTGAACCCTGTTGTTTGTATTCCTCTCGTTTGAGGTAATGTTGATGTTTTTACGATAAGCATCTGTTTCTATCGAACGATTGAATTCAAAAATTCAATTATGTTTCCAAGGAGAACCAGAATATAGTAATCATGAATCAATGGTGAAAATATCTGACAACGTTTTCATAGACTATATTGATCAAGAACAATCATATAAGCAAGACATCAGATCAATTTGAGGTATTAAAATCAGTTCAAACGATACAAATTTGCTTCCTTCTCATAAACTGTGTCAGATTCGAAAAAATTCTTTTATTCTATAGATTGTTCAAGAAAAAAAAAGAAGTAAAATATATTTGTTACATACACACTTTGAACAACAATAAACAAACTAACAGAACTGTAGAGTTGATTTCCACCAATGATGACACTTTCCTCTCTGACTCCTTTAGACCAACGCATGGTTCAATGATTACTACAGTCAGTCACATAGGTATTAAAGGAAAAAAAGATCAATTCTTTGTTTCTAATTGAATTATTGTGATCATGAATTTATTCTATTTTTCGTATACTGATCTTGGTAAAATCCTTCGTTATCTACTCATTCCTTATTCCCCTGTACACAAAAAAACTATTCATGTGGTTTTGCAATAAAATATGTATTTTTTTCGTCAGAAGAACAACGTTCGTTCATAGCAAAGAAGCATGAAAACCAGACTTGGAACCGGTCAGATTCTTTTAGACCGGACCGGTCGGTCCAAATTCTTGATTTAACCGGCAAAAAACCGGTGCATTTCATGCATCAATTAACCAATCAGTACTTTCGAGAAACAGTCTATTACTTCAGTTTGACGAAGATATACGATGTCAAACTCATAATTCTTGAAGTTTCTAATAGTAACAGCTCGTATTATAGTTTGCCACGTTTCATGTGCTAACATTAAGAAGGAACGACCATTTCTTTCAAAAATGTTTGACTTAGAACTCAAGCAACTAATATTGAACAACATCTAACTATGTTTTGGCTGACTTTTTTCTATAACGATATGAATTCTTTACAATTGATAAGTTTAATCTATTCTTATTTGAAATAATTATTTTAACACAGCTGAAAGGCATTTCAATCCGCAAAAAAGGATGCTAATGCAGGCAGAAAGATAAGGTGAGCTAAAATGTATGGCTTTCATATTAGACTTCCTATTTAAGGTTTCTTAATATCTAAGTATTTTCACAATTACATGATGGCAGTAGTCCACAAGATCTTGACAACGGAACTTAATCTTTTCTTGTATTTTGTTATGAAAGCATGAACTGAAAACTACTAGCTATTGGGATTCTATGAGAGTAGAGTAAAATCAGTCCAGAAAAGTAAACTCAAAATTTCGAGGTGAAAAATCTATAGTTTAGACCGATATTAGCTTCTAATATCGGGCTTATTTTTCGTGAACATAAACAAATTCATTCAACATGCTCCGAGGTCCTCATCCTAGGATGGGAAAGTGTTAGCCAATATTTAGAGCTGGGATTTCGATAATGATTGAAAATTTACCAGTTAGAAACTTCCAAGCTCATATCCCTTGATCATTGAAATCATAGAAACCGGTAAAAGTGAGCAAAATATGCAAGTTGTAGTGTCCCAAAAATTTTTAAAAGTTAAAAAAAACCGGTAAAAACCGACCTGTTTTAAAAGTTCGACCGAACCGGAACGGGAACTGGCAAACCGGCCGGTCCGGTTCCAAGTATGATGAGAACATCCACGTCATTATTAAAATAAAGCAATATTATATACATATATAATTACTTTTCGCGCTACGTCTGTCCCAATCTAAGATGAATTGTTGTCAAAGAATCT